CCTATGCTTGTACTGTGTGATCAAAGCAACTGAAAAATACCAGTAGTTCTCATGCCATTCTTTTTTTTTCCAAGAGGAAAAATATTTATTAGAACTGCATAACTAAAATTACAGATGAATTATTCAAAGTTCCTTAATAGAATTTACAATTTTTAATAGTGTTTATAATGATAAAAAGAAGGCTACTGTGACATTTCCTCAGAAATAACTTCCAATATAAACAGACTTACTTGTTGATGTTTTAGTCTTCAAATGCTATGTACTTGTAGTTTCCAGGTAACAGGTACATCTGATATTTTATGAATATCCTATAAACAAAGTAAACTAAAGAAGTAAAACATTGGTATGTGGCAGGATTATGTTTCTGGGCATTTTCTATTTATTTTTGTTGGATCTAATCTGGAGTGTATAGAATTTTTAAAGCACCTTATTCAGCAAGAAGTGTTGGGGAAAAAAGGAAGAAAGGAATGCATGTTGAACCAAAAGAAAATATTATGTGGAGTTAGAGTAGTGGTGGTTTATCCCTCATTAAAATAAAGCAAAGAACAGCAATTGTAATCAATGCATTTCAAAGGAGTAAAGTAAGGAAGGTGTTTCCAGGCCTGGATATGCCTTGAAAATTATTTGAAAAAAAATGTTTCAATCTTTGTGTTCAATATTTCTGTTGGTCATTAAAGCACCCTGACTTATTATAGGCTGAAAAAAAGATGCAATTGTTAATTGCATCGTTTTTTTCAGCCTATAAATAGTCCATTAAGAGTGGATTCCTTAAAGGTGTGGCATCTCTGTTTCAGGTTTGTGCAGAAGCTTGAGAAAAGTCAGGATGCTTAAATAATTATCTAAGAAATGTTGTGTTTCTATGAAATGCAAAATGTCATTATTTTCAAAGTGTGCATCGCCTATATTTTCTGCCCCAAGGTTGCAATCAACACTTCAATAGAGCAACCCTAACAACCTATTCTCCATAGCTTAATTTAAATGTTTTGTGCACATTATTTAGTATAAAACAAACTAATGGGTTATACTTGAAATGCAGAGTTTAGTTGTACTGGAAATAGTATCTAGCATAACAAAAAAGAGAGAACTTTCATTAAGTTCAGAGAAATGTAGAATACTCATATCTGTTGTTTTTTTTAAGGGAGAAAAGTATAGAGGGCACTTTAAAGTCTTGGAGCAAGAATTGTATTATACAAATTTACAAAGTCCCAATAAGAGTTGAAATGTTGAAAACCCAAACTTTGATGTTTTGCCTCATTTTCCAACTCCTAGCGTAGGTGGAAAAACCACAGTGGAAAAACTTGAATTTCTTCTATTGACAGGAAAATAGCTGAATGCAGTTTCAATGTTATTTGGAATTGGAAATGTGACTTTTAGTCATCAAAGTTAATGTTGCATTATTTTTCTTTTCCTTCTCTGAATCTCTTTAATGCACCAACAAATTGAGACTTCAGCAATGCCTCCCAAACCTTCTCCTTCATTATCCAAAATTGCTGATCAGAAAGTCCTTATTTAAATGTTCTTGTTGTGATTGGGTAATGGGTTACCAAAGAAAAACCACTTTTGCTTGATGTTGGGTAATTTACACAGATATGAGAGGCACCAGGCTTTCAGTTTGTGTGAAAGTCTGGACTTATTTTATTTTTGTGAAAATGTGGCCTGAAAGTATTCCTTAATTAAAAAGAAACAAACTATCACAAACAAGCATAGATGTGAAGGTGTCATTTCAGCTGACATTTTAATAAGTTGAATTCTACACATTTTCTCCATCTTTTTGATTGCACCCACTGATGACTATTGAATTGGTTCCATCTTTTATGGTAGAAATGGGATATGATTATATCATGTAGCTTTTTAATAATGATTTTTCAAATACTAGCAAAGGTCAGTGAGACACTTTCAATTCTTGACCCCAGAGTGATCATTGTCATCTAAGATAAGAATTCTAATTCTGTCTTAATTACATGAATGTGGCACTCCCAAGTTATTTTAAATCCAGATATAATAGAACAGATAGAAATTTGCTTTGGTTTAATAAGCAAATATTGCAATATAATTTCAATTGATTTTCTGGGGTGGGAGAAAGGTCTTGAATACAATATCCATATCAACAGCCTGATACTTGTTTTGTTCATAACACAGAAGCCCTTGATAAATCTGAAAATTTCAACTCAACCCAATTCTAATGAAATCCTGGATGTTTAACTATACAGATGTGTTTTATATATCTAGGCCTGTGATGTGTATTGTGTGTCCACTGCTGCTTCCTAATTCTCCAAAAATCTGCCTTGATAAATTTCAGACTAGCTTTCAAATATTTTTTATACTTGTTTTGCTTAGAAGTTCCAGGTCTTTGACCAGATTTTCCAGCCTGATAGAAACTTCCTTAAGATTTGGATTTTTTCAAGGTTGTTCCAAGAGGGATGGGCTGCAGGGGGTTCGCAGGGGTACGGGAGAGCCCTTTGCTAAGATTCTGTACAGTTCGGAGAATCCCCAAATCCCACTCCTAGCTGGCCCCACCCACCCCACCCCTCCTAACCCTAGTCTGTTTTGGATGCAGGTAAGTGCAGGGTGCACACAGAGGTTCGGGGAGGGCAAAAAATGGGCCTCCCAAAAGTTCGGGAAGGCCGGAAATGGGCCCGTTTCTGGCTTCCAGAGAGCCTCTGGAGCCCAGAGATGCAGTTTTCACTCTCCCGCAAGCTCATGGAAAGCCTCCAGAGCCCGGAAAGGGCAAAAACATCCCCCCTGCCATGGTGCAGTAGGTCAACTAGACATAGCCACACCTACCCAACAACCATGCAGAGAACCTGTTGCTAAAATTTTTGAAACCCACCCCTGACCATAAGGTCAGGAAAGGCTGCTGTATTAAACTTTACAGCTTAAATAGTGGTAACTCATAAATAATTTCTAAAACTCTGCTGTTGCTTTGTTTATTTAAAATCGTAATATTACATGCATGGTCACAGTGTACTAGGTCAGTTTTAACGTAACAAAATTGGAATTAAAAGGTAACAACTTTAACTGTTTCATCAATCCCAGGTATTATGCTCATGTCAAGTCTAGAAAACACTTGATAACTGGCTTTCATTGTATGCGCCATCTTGGCACCTTTGGGTTTCTCTGGTTATTTAAATGTTAGATATTTCATTTTTCAGTTGGTTGCCAAATAATGGGCCAAACAGTTCCTTCTCAAGTTTTCTTTCACCTACCCCCACCATCTACAAGTCAGACTCCTACCTCCATTTCTTCTAATCATGCCAGATTCTTAAAGACTACTCAGACAAATGCCAAAAAAAACCCTTATTGGCAAGGTTTTTCAGAAGTGATTTGCCATTGCCTCCTTTCAAGGGCTGAGGGAAAATAACTGCCCCAAGGTCACCCAGCTGGCACTGAACCTAAGGCAAGACCAGAACTCATGGCCTGCTAGGTCCTAGGTTGATGCCTTAACCACTACCCCAGACTGGCTGGCTCCTCTCTCCATAACTGTACTCTTAATAGATCTCTGCAATGAGAACAAAAACCAGTTGGATACTGTTCTGGGGAGATGAAACAAAATAGATTCCCAGTGCTTTGGACCAAACAAACAGACCAAGGATCTTCAAACTTGGCAAGTTTAAGACTTCTGGACTTCAACTCCCAGAAATCCTGAGGTAACATGATTGGAGGAGGAATTCTGGGAGTTGAAGTCCACAAGTCTTAAAGCTGTCAAGTTTGAAGACCCCTGATATAGAGGGATATAAATGTTAATTACAAATATTCCATAGGTGTATAATTAGCAAAATATTTGATACATGAAGGACAATATAGCCAGTATATTACATTTAGGTCTCCTCAGGCAAGACTGCCTTTTAGTTGTTATATTCCTGGTATATCAGATCAATTTAACTACGAAGTCATAAGTGGCATTTTGAGCTTAAATGACACCTGTAATTGTAATGGTACATTGCTCTGTTTGTGTATAACAATCCTATTTCTTTCTGCAAAAGAAAGATGAATTGTTTGTTCTACTATAATATGTCATAACAAAAAGTGCGATTTTAAACTAGCTTATAGGTTTTCTGAGCTTTATAAATCATGTATTACAACAACAGCCACTGAGGCCGATCATAACAATGAAAAGGATTTTATACTATCTATATAGTTAATACACCAATATATAAGGCTAATTCATATTGACAGAAGGTATAGACAAATGCTAATTAGACAATCCTTTATTAAAAAATAGTGTTTTTTGTAAAGAAATAATAATAAAGGACAAAAACTAAATTGTTCGTTTACAAACTTCTTAAGCTATAATTTACTGTAACTTATTTGTTGAACAAAATCTACAGTTTGTTTCATGTAGCAGCCCAAAGGAAATTATGGCTAACAGTGATCCATTAATCTTTAAGGCATATGCTAAATCTAGATATTGGAGATTGCTAATTTGGATATCAGTAGTTGTCTTTCATGAATCTGCATAATTTGTATCACTGCCTCTTGCATTAGTGGTGCATAGCTTTTTTATGCATTACTTTTAACAGAAATCATTCCATCACAGTAAGACAGTAATATGTATCTAGAAAGACACAGGAATGATTAATACAATACAAAGCAATCCACCCCCACTCCAAAAGTTAACTTTCACAACTGTGTAATTGGTCAGTAGAGAAACAGAATGCAGAACTAAATCTTAATTAGCATGTGTTTTGGATATAGCTAGAATGAAGTAGTGAACATCATCAGAACAGTGGTGGGATTCAAACATTTTTACTACCATTTCTGTGTGTGTGTGTGGCTTGGTGGGGGTGGCAGGGGAAGGATACTATAAAATCTCCAATCAGTATTTACCTGTTCTCTGAACTACTCAAAATTTCCGCTACCGGTTCTCCAGAACTGGTCAAAACCTGCTGAATACAACCCCTGCATCAGAGGAGTGATGGGGAACTTCTAGCACAGGGGTGGGGAACATGGCCTCTTTATGACTTGTGGACTTCAACTCCCAGAGTTCCTGAGCATGGCTGGATGGCTGGCAGAAATTCTGGGAGCTGAAGTCCACAAGTCATAAACAGGTCCATTGTTCCTCACCCCTCTTCTAGCACAATCACATCTCTACTTGTTAAGGAGAAGAATTTTAGAAAAAAGCAGCTATGACTACGATTGTGGGGTGATTTCAACCAAGAAAAAGTAAACAAACAAGAAATGGCAGCAATAATAGTAAGCATGTAATGCTTTGTAAATTACTTACTAGGTTACAGTGGAATGTTTTTAGTTTTCAATTTTAAGCTAAATCATTGGAATTATAAGATTCCCTAATATCTTTTATTAAGCACAATTCTCTTGCTGGTAATGCAAATTGCAGAAGACATAAAATTACATTAAAGAATTTACTGGTATTTCATTCTGACATGCTCAGAATTTATTGGTATTATATTTGCCTCAACAACCATATATTTCTTGTTTTGTTTGTTAAACAAATGATTATAGAGTCCCATTTAAAAAATGATGTGTCACCTTGTGTAAATATTAAGTGGAACATTTCTTCAAGGTCTGGATCATATATCCATTTATTCCTCAGTGCTGATCTAGTAATTGAATAAATAAGCTAACAGTGTTTAAAGCAGACCAAATCTTGCCAGTGAATGTGTGAGTGAATCCTGTTTACCAGCCTTGGTAGACAGGAGAATTTTTCATTAATCCTTCATTGGTGCCCAGATTTCCTTCAGACAATATGCTTAAAGTTTCATCTGTCTGATGGATGGGCACTGTTGATGTTTTCTTTGAGTCATGGAAATTCACTGAGTTTCCGCTTGGCAAAGCATAGCCATTTCCAGCAGCAGTTGAGGTAGACAGAGAATCCCATGGAATTGGGCTTTTTTGCCACTGCAAGTCCAGATTCCAACCAGTCCAGCCATAAAAAGCCAATGTGAAAAGAAAGCCTTGCATGGGGTTCAGCACTCCCTAGGAAGGAAAGGACAGAGGAAGTTATTTGAGGGCCAAAGTGCAGTTTATTATACAATGGAACCTGAGGTCGCGGACCAAATCAGGTTCCAACCAAAAAATCCACCCAATTTTTGAATCGGGTCACGATTCAAAATTCGGGTGGCAAATAAACCCGGCCGTGGCAGATTCCCTTTCTGTGCTGATTTCCCCTTCTGCACATGCACAGTCCACACAATTTTTTGTCCACACATGTGCAGTCGTTTGTGCTTCTGATCACAGCCAAATTGGCTTGCAACCGTAGTCCTATAATGGATTACGGTCGCGACCCGAGGTTCCACTGTATTTTTTAGTGAGGACTGTAAAGTAGCCCAGCTTTCTGTGCTACTGTTTCTCCTATTTCAGGCTAAAGAATCAGACCTCAAATCACAAGTCATTCTCTTTTTAAAAAATCAGACAACAAAATGGAGAAATAAAATATATTTTAAGTAATGCTGGCTTCCTTATGTTCCTGCTATTTACATAGTATAGATATATATCCTTCAGGTATCCATATTGTTTTCTGTGGTGACTTAAATATTTTGGACAAATTGATCCGGTGTGGAAGTATCTTCTGCTTTAGATCTCATTGATGCCATCATAAGAAGTATCTCTCCAGATTCACTTAATAACTGTGTTATTAATTTAACAACTGCAGTGATTCTCTTAACAATTGTGGCAAGACTAAATGGAGCAAAACTCACTTAACAACAGAATTTTTGCGATTGTGGTGGTAAGTCACAGACTACCTGTAATATCAATTTAATTGTTCTCTCTTTAGGAGCTTTTTAACATTGAAAAATAAATAACATTTTTAATATTTACGCCCTTGTCATTCAATCCTAATCAGCAAAGGTTTATTAAAAGTTACTTTAAAAAGCTTGTGTTTTTTTAACAATCAAATCAATTTCATATTTCCTTACTTTTAACACAGTTACTTAAAATTTTCTCTAAAAATACAACAAAAAATCTTTTCCCATATTTTTTATCTATAAACAAATCTGTAATGACTCATCATTTGGATCTAATCAAGAAAAATACATTAAGAGCTACCAGAAACTATTTTAAATCTTGAATTTTAATCCCTCCAAGTAAATAGCTCACAAGTTGATTTGTTTTTATTTTCTCTGTTTCTCTCAGAAACTCTCACAAATTTAACACATACCAGAAACACCACCTATATTTTAGTCTTAATAAGATAAAACTTTGTATTTTTCCCCTTTCCGTCTAACACCATTGTTTATTACGTTCTCTGAAAATGCAACCAAAAAGTTTTCTTCCCATAGCTTATCTATTTTATAGCCTTGTCATTTAGTTCTAGTTGAGAAAAAACATTACATATATTTTAAACTTGATCAAATAAGCCAATTTTATATTTCATTTTTTTATAATTCTCTGTATTTGTTCCCTTTAAATAGTATCCAAAATGCTGATATATTTTCATTTTATCTTTCTTTTCTCCAGCAATCTTTCATGAGTGTAACACATTTCTTTTTAAGACAAAGATAAAAAAAATTATCCACGTCATTCTTCTGATTTATTATTTCCATCCATTTCAGTTATTAAGAAATCAACCAGTTTCATTGGTAAATCCAATGTAATGTTTTTTTCTGTATCATTTTTATAGCCTGACATTTTAAAATCCAAATTAAAAACAGCTTTATACTCAGCTGTATCCTCTTCTATCTCCTCTTTTAAACTCATTTTTATGGTAGCAGACATTCTTATTAGAATTTTCTTTGGGCATTGTTCTCAAATATCCTTTAATTCTTCCAAAGTTAAAATAACTTTCTCCACTCTTTATTAGTGGGTCTCGTCTCCTTTAATTATAATTATATTTCTTTTGGGTTGCTTCTAAGGCTCAGCAACCTCATATATTTTAAATAAAATTTTAAACAACTCACAAGTAGTATTCTTATTATTAATTTCAAAAACTTATTTCCAATCCATTCCTTAGTCCATTTATAATTTTCCAAAATCATACTATAAATAACCAAACCACTTGCTGATTATTCCAGAATAACCTTTTAAACTTCTTTTGCTGATAGTTGAGGGAGAATTATCTAATTTGTTATTCTAAAGGTTCTTAATATCTAACAAGCAATTAGCAAGCAATTGTAGGAGAGGAAAGATAATGCTAGCAGGAGGCCGAGGACAAGAATAGACTTTTGGTGTATAGTTGCTACAATATACGAGAAAAAAAGAGGAAAAACTGGCTAAGAAGTTACTAGAAATGAAGTTTGCTATGACTCAACTGATATAAATACATGAATACAGTTATTGTGGTGCTTAAAATTTTGTGAACCTTTTTGAAAATAACCTGAAATATTGCTATCACAGATTATTAAATAAGTTACTGTTAATCAAACCACAGTTGTATATAAAGTGTGAATCCAGTAAATTTGCTTAAAATTTCTGTATGTACAGGAGGCGGCCTTAAATATGCTGGCAGTTTCCCTGTGAGCAACATGTTAGAAAAGCCCATACCATTATAATCCATGTGATCAGGGCAGCATTTCTGATATTTTTCAAGGAGCTTCCACTGATATCTGGTTGCATTTCCAGGTAGAACAGAAGACTCTCATTTATGATATTTGATGACCAGCTTTTATGGATGTAAAAGTTATAGATAAAAACAAGACAGAAGGCTTTATAATTATTTGTTATTTTCAAAGCAAAATTAAAACAATTTTCTATCAAGGTTACTTGTTTTCCTTTGAGGGATAATAAACATTAGTATGAATACACACAGTATTATTTTGTTAAAATTCCTTCAAAGTGACAGAAGTACTGAAAAATCATTAAATAATGTGTTTTAGTTAGAGCACTATTATAACTCTACAGTTATAAAATGAATGGATTTTTTTTACTTCTTAATATTATATCAAGCTGTACTGTTACATAACAATAGAAATAGTAAGTGCACTTAGACAGTATTTCATCTGATAGATTATATTTGCTTAGTACTTACAATTTATGAAGTGGGAAAAGTCTATTATACACTCTATGTGGGGTTAATTTAGCCCATAGTCTAGTCATTAAAACCTTTCAACTAGGATAGTTTTATGTCATTTACCTACTCAAAAGGTGAACCAGAATGATTAAAACAAGAAAAAAAGAGTAAGCAAGAGATCTCCATATAATCATAATTATCCCTAATTACCACCAATATATCTTATGGAAAGTTCAATAGTGAGATCTATCATTCTTTCTGAGAGAATATGAAACACTTTATTCCAATATCGGTGTCATCAGAATACATGGCTTCCTATACCAGAAAATGCAGCTTCGTTCCAAACCACAAACTTTGAACAACACTGTGGGTAAGAAATTATATAAAAAGAGATGATGACAGGAGCATCGATGGGGGTTGATAAAAGTCAAGGCAGTGGGCACAATTATGTGATTGCAAATTCCACTTTTTTACTTGTATGTGACATTCATAAACACATTAAAAAGGAGAGGAGTTTTGCCCACCTAATCTTGACATTTTTTTTGACCCCCCCCTTCCCTAAACATCTCTAAAACATGTTTAATATAAAAACACTGCTAAATATATCAGACAATTTATTATCAAACATGGTGTTTGAATATACATAACAATATTTTTATTTATTTATATCCACCCTTTATTATTTTTATAAATAATTCAAGGCAGTCAATATATTCAACACACCTTTCAACTCCTATTTTCTCCACAGCAAACTCTGTGAGGTAGATTGAACTGAGAGAGATGACTGGCCCAAGGTCACTCAACTGGCTTTCATACCCATGGCAGGATTAGAATTTACAATCTCCCATTTTCTAGCCTAATACCTTAACCATCAAACTGGCTCTCAAATTTCTATGTCTATATTTGCATATCCATAGCTATCTGCATACAAGTATAGGACCAAGAAATTTTACTTTGTTTGTCTTATTAGTGCTGGGTTACTGTATCCCAGTTATGATTTTCAGTCTTACTGACATGTTAACAGCCAGAGATCTGTACATTCAGAGAACAAGAAAGGCAGGAGTGGATAGAAATGTTCCTCATTTACTGCAAAATCTGCTGTAGGTTCTTTAAAGTCAATGACCAAATAATTTTAAAGCTTCAATTACTTAATAGTAGAACCAAAAAAAGTGCCATCCTGACTATTTTTCACTTCTATACTGAAGGGAAGAAAGCTGAGAAATGGAATGACTTGAATATTTATGTGATTTGGGGTTAGATTGTCATGGAGAAAATATATCTATGTGGTTGCTAAAAATCAAAACCTAGTTGATGGCACATAATCAATTTATTTGATGAAATAGCTATAAAGCTCGATTCAGTCTTTCAAATTTGGGGGATTTTTAAAAAACTTAAAGTTGCACCGTATATATATATTATAGCTATAGATTTTATAGTGTTATTTACAAAATTAAAATTCTGAGAAATCTGAGGGTTGCCCAACATGATACGCATTTTATATCATACATTAGTTTTTCCCAACATCTTTTTTTTTTGTAAAAATTTTATTTGGGTTTTCACAAAACATAATACAAGTAAAATTTCTTTTTTGAGAATAGCATGGTCCCGGGTTATCACTTCTCCATACAGACACAAACTCAATTTCATATTCGTCTTTGAGTTCTATTCCATATCTTTTTACTATTTTAACATTTTCTCAATAATTTTTCCCTTCCTTTAGTTTTCTGAACCTTGCTTTTAATTATCTCATTCCTTTCTAAATTCAGTTATATATATCTTTTTCTAAGTTTCAATACCTTTCTAGTCATCATATTTATACTTTTGTCTGTCCTGTTTCAATTTCATATTTCCTTTTCTCATTAAACAAAATTTTCCCCTATAGTCACTAATTGGAGTATGATACCTTTACTTCTTCCTTCTTGTGCATCTTCTTTGTTTTTTAAGTTCCATTTTCAATTCTTCCAAGAGTGATACCATTTTAAAAACTTTTAAACAACCACCCGATTAATTTTAGTCCTTTAGATCCAATAACCAAAAATCCAAAAATCACCAAATAACCCAAATAATCCAATGCTGTTTCTTCTTGCTTCTTTTTCCCCACTTTCTCTTCCTGGGGTTCTATTATCATGTTACAAAGTTTCAGTTAAAATGTATCTTTGAGGAATCTTGTTAAAGTTTCACTATTAATTCCTTTCACTTCCAGGTGGTCTCCTCCATTTTTTCAGATCCCACCCTTTTGTTTTTTACTTTTCTCTCCTCTCCTTCTTTTAAAAGTTTTTGAGAGTCCAGAAATCTTTATCATCCCTTTGACATTTTATTTTCAGCTTAAATGCCTGTTAATGTCAAAGTGGATTTTAGCTGGTTTCTTGCTTAAATCTTAGTTGTCAATATGGGGAAGGAAAGAAAAAAAACCCAAATCCTTTCCCTTCCCTCTCTCATTCGCCGCTTCAAAGTCTTCTTTGGAAACAATGATTCTTTATAATTCAAATACCAGGGTACCTTGTATTGTTGCTTTTTCAGTTCAACCCGGTCAGCCAAAACTTTCTCTTATCTTCCTCCTGCATATTCTTTTCCGGTCAAATTCTTCTTTGAGGTGGCCATTTCTGACCACCACTACAAGCAGCTTCGGGAAAGGGAGTAATGGCCAGCTGGGGAGAAGAGATGCGGTTCACCTCGACCCTGCTCCCCCCTCTTCACCACCTCTACAGGGTGGCTTAGCCCTGAAACCAGCCGGCTCGGGGCACTTCGGCGGCGAGCACAGATCAAAACCACACACGATCGCAGATTTCGGTCTGTCGCCGAAGGGGCTCAAACCAGAACCCCCAGTTTTTTCCAACATCTTGAGTAATTAATTCATATTTACCTATATTCTTCTAATTTGATTTTTAAACTAGTCTTCTATCAGCTTTTCCACAAGACCTCCTTTTCAGCTCATTACTATAGAGTTTTGACTTTCCCTCTGTCTTTTAAGCATACCACCCTTGCTTTTATTGTCTGGCATAATTTGATTCCTAGATTGATTATTTCTGGATGATGAATTCTGACATTAACACTGATTTATTCATCAGCTTCATTATTATCTAATTTATATCAACTACATCTATCTAATAGTCCTCGTCCTGCAAAGTCCTCGTCCTGCATATGAAATCATGATGAATAAATTATGACTGAATCATGAAAAAAAAAATTACAAAAACAACCTAAACCTGACAGTGGGTCAATCAATGATAGGTTACATAAATGCTCCAGAAATGCCTGTGCTTTCAAATATATTATTGCTTTATGTTCCAGGTCATCCTCTCCTATTATTTTTAAATCCCTCATTTGTTGGCAAAACTTTTGGTTTTTATGTGTAGGATAAACAGTCTCAGAGTAAATATTTCATAGAGTTCCTTAGTATCCAGAATGATCTTTCCAGTTATATTTGCTAATGTTTTTCTTTATGGAAATTTTATTCCAAGAATATAAAATAAAATCTGCTTTGGATGATATATAAATAATACATTAATATATAGCAATAGCACCTAGACTTATATACTGCTTCATAGTGATTTACAGACTTCTCTAAGTGGTTTACAGAGTCAGTATATTACAGCCAATGGTCTGGCTCCTCATTTTACCGACCTTAGAAGGATGGAAGGCTGAATCAACCATGAGCCGTGAGGATCGAACACCTGGCAGGAAGTTGAATTACCCTGCAATACTTCATTCTAACCACTGTGCCACCATATGTGAGAGATAAATACTGTTGCCAAAGGCAACATTAAAAAAAAGTTTTGTGTTATCAGGAAGAGACAAAGGAATCTTACACTAAAATTATAGTGGAGCACTTACATATCAAGAAAATACATATAGTTCAGCCAAAGAAACCAACATTTCCCTGTCTTTGAAAAGTTTTCTTTAATTTTTTTTAATCTTACCAAACAATAATGATCAGCATAATTTTGAAAAAGCGATTTTTAATCTCTGTCCCCAGCCGCCTTTCATTCTCTGTGTAGATTCCTTGTCTTCCCTTCAATAAAGATGCAACTGAGAAGCAGAAATGAAGTATGTTCAATATATCATTCAATAAAGAAGCCGATCCTGCCTATCTAGGGCAAGCCTGCCACATTTTGAATGCAGAAGGCAATATACATGGATCTGCTCCCGCCCCCACTTTCCTAGTAAGTAGAATTGCTCTGTTAATCTTCCTTTTTTCTTATGAAAAGTCCAATTGCCATTTGGAATCTTACCGGCAGCCACAGTTCTACTAAAAAGAATTGGGTTGACCATCAAAACAAGCGCCAGTGGAACGTATGTGGTGACATAATGAGGAATTGCATGCTCCAATCCATTTTCACAACTGTACAATAGGGAGAAAGGACAGATTATAATTCTAATCTATTTGTTCCCAAATTGAAAAAGCTTCCTGCTTAATCAAAGATGATTTCTTGTGCTTTGCTTACAATGCAACTAGGAATACATTGAATAGGCATTTTCAGTGTGGTAGCATTGACTGCTAGCTGGCTATATATTTGTGTGGACAAATACATAGTATTTAACTGATAGTGATAGTACAGTAACTATTTTTCAAACAAAGAATGACTATATGGAGAAATCTTATGAAGGTGGAAGCTTTCAGGAGGCTACTTAATTGATTCCATTTATAGAAAAATTGAACTATTGGGGGTGGGAACGTTGCCATTACTTTGTATATGTGATTTACGCGCCCATTTTCTCAGATTCAGAATTCTTTTGATGCTACCACTTGATTTCCAGTAAAAGATATCTTTTCTCTGATTAATCAGAATCTTAAGTATTTCTTTCTTGGATTTTGAATGGCGCACCAGCTGACATTATTCTGAATCTCCACATTACCAGCCCACCCAGAGAATTAATAAATTTTCTTCCAAGGGGGTCTGAACACAATGTCAAATCCAGCCAGGGACCAAGAAGACCTGGGAGTGACTGGAGGACAAGATTCCCTGCTATTAGAGGCAGCAGGGGAAGCCGACTTGTTAGTAGAATTAAGTCTTGGTGAAAAACCAGCTGTAAAACCCAAATGGTCCCTGGGAGTCGGCTGGAAGGATCCTGAAGAAAAACCTCCTCCAGGAGTGACCACTACCCGTCGGCATAGAAGAGAGGAGCCATGGCAAGAGAAGGAAAGAAAGAATTTTTTACTAACTCAAGCCATGCATCTTTTAAATGAAGCTATCGGAGAACCTCAAACTGATCAAAGGTATGAGGAAGAGGAGGGGGAGGCAGCCCCAGCCTGAAGAATCAGAGCAGCCACCCCCATAAATCAACCTGGGCTAGCGCAACAGGCAGAAGCAGCCCAGGGCCCCCCAGCAGGGGGAGTAATTGCCAGAAGACATAGAACTCCAAAGGTGCCTCTGTTGGAAGTAAAATATGGGGGGGGGGGGATCCCAAGGAGTTAGGATTCTTCCTGGCACAAGTCTGGAGCCATATGGAGGAATATGGAGGGGATTTTTCCTCAGAAGCAGCCAAAGTTCGATGTGTTACAAGGGCTCTGGAGGGAACAGCTGCAAAGTGGATGGTGACTTTGCATAATGATAATGCCCCTCAGCTGATGAATTATGACCTGTTCATGACTGCACTGCAGGCCAGGTTTGAAGACCCACTTGCTGAACGTAAGGCCAGAATTAGGATGAAGACCATAAATCAGGGGTGGAGATCAGTGTCCGACTACACCCAGGAATTTAGAGAGCTGGTGTGTCATATTCAAGGCTGGTCCCAGGGAGCCCTGATAGAAGCTTTTAAAGATGGGTTGAATGAAGATGTATATCAAAGCTGTATTGCCAGAAGAGACCCCAGTGAGCTGCAGCTGTGGTACGTGCTGGTATCAGAGGTGGAAATTGATCTGACCCGAAACAGACACTGGGGGGGGGGTCTTGGTTGGAGCAAGTCCTCCCCCCACCAGCCCTCGAGAAGCCTTAAAACCCCAAAAGGGAGGAATGGCGGCAAAACCCAAGACCACTGCATGCTTTCGATGTGGGAAGGAAGATCACCGGGCTGCAGACTGCTGTGCCAAGCTAGAGCCAAAGGGGGAACCGGGAGGAGAAAGAAAACATGAGAAACCCCCAGCAAAGCCTCGCGAAACAGCACTTAAAGCGGAGGAGGTTGTAGAGATCACCCCTCCAAAAGGAGAGGAGCTGGGAACTCCAACCTCTTCTGAGGAGAGTGAATCCGAATCGGAAGATGACTCACTGGTAAGTCCAAACAAGGGCCCTATGACCATTCCAGTGAGATTAAGGGTACCCACGTCGGGAGCCAAAGGGGAAATGCTGGCCTTGTTAGACTCTGGGTGCACAAGGTGCGTAATCAGCTCGGAGGTAGTAGAGAAAATGGGCTTAAGGCTAAAGACTTTAAAAACGCCCATAGCCTTCTGCCAACTGGATGGATTGGTAACTGGGGGTGGTCCTACACACTTCATGACAGAACCAGTAGAAATGACGATGGGGAAGCATAGAGAGACTTTCTGTTTTATTGTGGCTCCTGGGATGGAGTGCCCCCTAATACTGGGTTTGCCCTGGCTCCAGAAATGGAACCCCCATGTTAATTGGAGGAGGGGATCATTGTGCATACCTACTGACCAACACCCAGAAGGGGAGGGGCAATCTCAACCAAAATTCAAGAATCCCACTGAGCTGGCCTCCATTGGCACCGAGAGTCTGAAGGGGGAAGAGAACATTCTGGAGGAATATTGGGACTTAAAAGAGATATTCAGTGAAAAGGCCTCGGACAAGCCCCCCCCCCCCCATTGTTCAACAGATTGCAGCATTCAAATTTTACCAGGGGTGAAACTCCCAAAACAGAAACTGTACTCGATGACACCACAGGAGCTAGAAGAGCTGCGGTCATTTATCGATATAAATTTGAAACGTGGTTTCATCCAACCTGCTAGACCCCGGGTAGCAGCCCCAGTATTGTTCCATGAGAAGAAAGATGGCTCCCTTCGTTTATGTGTTGACAAAAGAAACCTCAACGCTATTTCGGTGGAGAATGTGTACCCCCTCCCCTTGATGAAGGATATGTTGGCCCACTTGGCCAAAAGGAAAATTTTTACGAAACTCAACCTGAGAGAAGCATACTACCGAGTTCGAATTAAGGAAGGGGATGAATGGAAAACTGCTTTTAACTGCCCAATGGGCTGTTTCCAATTCAACGTTCTTCCATTTGGCCTACAGGGAGCCCATGCAGTATTCATGCAAATGATCAATCAGGTGTTGCATGAACATTTATACAAAGGGGTGTTGGTTTATGTTGATGATATTCTTACCTACACGGAGACTCGTGATGAACATGTGAAACTAATGTGGTCAGTTCTGGAAAAACTTTGAGCTGCTGAGCAGTATGCAAAGTTGTCTAAGTATGAATTCCACCAGGAAAAAAATGACTATTTAGGCTATTGCATATCACATGATGGCATAAAAATGGATCTGGGGAAAGTTCGTGCCGTGTTGGAATGGGCCCCTCCCTGCACCAGGAAGCAACTTTAAAGTTTCTTGGGATTTGCCAATTTTTACCATCAATTTATCCCTGCTTTTGCGAATATTGCAATGCCTATCACAAATCTCCTAAAAACCAAAGGGGAGGTGAAACTGAAGCCTAGTAAACCACTGGAATGGTCCATGGAATGTCTAGCCGCTTTTGAGAAGCTGAAATGACTGTTTGCTGCTGAACCAGTGCTCAAGCACCTGAACATGGACGCTCCTTTTGTAATCCAAGCCGATGCAAGTGACGTAGCAGTCGGGGTGGTGTTACTACAAGCAAACGAGATGGGGGACTCTGTAACTGTGTGCATATATTTCCCATAAACTAACTGAAACCGAAAGAAGATGGGCCATCTGGGAAAAAGAAGCTTGGGCTCTGTTAACCTGGAGGCATTTGTTAGAAGGGGCAAAACACCCATTTGAGGTGTGGATGGATCATAAAAATTTGAAGGCTTTGAAAACACCTCGGAAGCTTTCTCCCAAGCAAGTTCGCTGGGCACAGTACTTTAAGAGCTTTAATTTTTCATTGAAGTACATTCCAGGGAGAAAGAACTTCATGGCGGATGCTTTATCTAGATTACCTCAATACAATAGTGCTCGCCAAGAAGTGGTACGGCCTATTGTCCCAACCAAACAGTTGGAAGCTCCAATGGTTACCAGAGCCCAGAAAAATAAGGAAGTCAATTTATCAAACAATTTAACTGCACAATTAAAAGACGCTCTAAAACTTGATGATTGGTTCCTTGCTCACTCAAATAACTGTATGGTTAGAGATGGATTGGCATGGGTGGGGGCCAAATTATATGTGCCAGCGAAGCTGAGAAACCAAATATTACAGCAAGCTCATGACTCTAAAGCTGCTGGACATTTTGGATTCGTGAAAACCTTACACTTGGTTAAAAGGCAATTTTGGTGGCCTGAACGCATAATCTCAGACATGGGTGTCCAGTTTACCTCAAACTTTTGGAAGGAGTTCCTGAAGTTATTGGGCTCCGCCCAGGGCTTAAGCTCCGCCCACCACCCACAAACCACTGGGGTTTGTGAGAGAACTATAGAACAATATCTTAGATGTTATATAAATTATCAGCAAGATAATTGGGCTGACCTATTGCCATTCGCTGAGGTGGCATATAACAATTCGGTACATAGTAGTACAGGGTTTACTCCATTTAAAGTGGCTTCGGGACAAGATTTTGTACCCATACCCAAGTTTCCACAGGAGAAACCTAACATTCAGTCATTAGATGAATGGATAACACAGCTCAAGCTTACCTGGCCCGTTACCCGTAAAGCATTAGATGAAGCTCATCAAGCTCATAAAAAATTTGCAGATAAAAAGAGAAGTCCACAAAAACCATATCAAGTTGGTGACAAGGTCTTTTTATCCACCAGATATTTGCAAACCACACAAAAGTCAAAAAAGCTTGGACCTAAGAAATGTTGGACCTTTTCCAAATGAACGATTTGTGAATCCTGTGGCAGTCTAACTGCAATTACCAAAAACCCTCCAACGAATCCACCCTGTCTTCCATGTTAGTTTGTTAAAACCTGAACATACCTCCGACTTGAGACCAGCTCAGGTCGATCCCCCCGTGCCTTTGCTAATTGAAGGTGAACAACATTTTGAAGTTAAAGAAATTTTGGATTCTCGAAAACAAATTGGGTCGACTCCAATATTTGATTGTTTGGAAACATTTTCCTCCTTCCCAGTCTGAATGGGTGAATGAGAAGGATGTTAGAGCTCCTAAGCTTATCAAGGCATTTCGTACTAAATATCCTGATAAACCCTAAGAAATAGTATTATGGTGTTACATGTATATTTTCCTGTTACCTTCTATTTTTATCTTTTCTAGAACTAACCTCTTTTTTGCAGGAGGAACGAATGTCAGCCTTCAAGATTTTCTCCCTTTGCTTTGCATCTTTCAGCTGTCCTAAGTAACGCGGGGAGGAGGGGAGACTGGTTATGGGAAGTGAGCTGAAGGTGTTACAAACGGACTGTATAAACTGGGGGGGTAGATTCTTGCTTGGGCTTCTATCCTATGCTATGCGCAGCTGCATCTCTTTATCAAAATATTTCAAGGTCAACGGATAGAGGCCTCATCACCACCTGGAGATGCCCACATGATGATACACACAACTTTTAATTGGATGAGCCAATTGAACTATTGGGGGTGGGAACGTTGCCATTACTTTGCATATGTGATTTACGTGCCCATTTTCTCAGATTCAGAATTCTTTTGTTGCTACCACTTGATTTCCAGTGAAAGATATCTTTTCTCTGATTAATCAGAGTCTAAGTATTTCTTTCTTGGATTTTGAATGGAGCAGAAATACAGCAGAAATACAGAAATATTTCTTACAGAAATACAGCAGGCCAATTTAAGAATTTGAGAAAACTGGGAACAAAAAAAAATCAGCAAACAAAAAGGATGTAACTTCTTCCATGTACAAATTTCATATCTCACTGCTTTAACAATTCCCCATCTCTCACAGGCCTCCTAATACTAGAGTTCCATTGTGAGATTAAAATTATCTGGAAAAATGGATGTTTGCAGTTTAACAAAAGCTAGTAGTGGGAGGAAGATCCAAATATTTTATGCCTTTAGGTGCCCCTAAAATAACTCCTGTCAATATCCACATTAGCACTGTATTGTGACAAAAGCTTGCCCTGCAGGATTTTTCTTATAACAGTCATTAGACTCTAACACTTACTCAAGAAAATATTAAATCAGGTATTTTAATTATTTTTGACAAGTATAATTAAAATTATTCTTAATTTTTCTCCACCATGCAAATTCCCCTGTTGTTTACAGACACTAACAAATCCCTAACTTTGGAAAAGTAATCTCCTCAAGGCTGAGCAACATAACAAAAGTTGGGTTCCATTGTATACCATGGCAGTGAAGCTGGCTTTCACATAATTAGATTCCCCTCCTTTTAATAAATATGGACCTAACCAATATCCTTCGGTGTCCTTTAATTTAAACAAATGATCGAAATGATTTAAAATTCAGGCAATGTTAGACTTACCTAGAAACTGAAGGATAGTAGAGCATAGCAACTCCCTCCACACACAGCAAAATTGCCAAGCCCCATGTCATCATATGGTACAACACAATAGTGCTAGAATGATATTGTACAGAAAAATAAGATGTGAATATTGCTCCTTGTCAACTTCACAAAATACATGAGTCGTTTCATATTTCAAGGCAAGTTGAACTGGTGGCGAAAAAAGAATACAAAAATAAGCCTTTGAAAAGAGTTTCAGTTTGCATCTCTCAAAGCAATACAACAATAGAAAATATCAATGTGAAAATACACATTCTGCAGCAAATCTAAACAGAATAAAAGCCAATTGAATGTTGATAGCAGATATTAAGTAGCAAGGAAATACATTTCTGTTTCTTCCGCTCAATTGTGTTCAATTCTTACACATTGCCTGGAGAAGTCCTTGTATTTTACTTGACAAGTTTTTCAGAAACAGGTGACTTTGCCTCTTTCCTGGTCTGAGAGAAAGTCACTGATCCAAGGTCATAGGCTCTGTGCCTAAGACAGGACTTGAACTCACAGTCGCCTCATTTCTAGCTTGATTCCTTAACCACTATGCCAAATTGGCTCTCATATTAAATATTAAGCAAACCATTATCCATATTTCATTCATGAAGATAAAACTAAATGTGCACCTAACCATGAAAATATGCCATCCTGAAAATATCCCGTGTTTAAAATGTAATGTTCATCTGTGATACCTTACTCCTGCTGATCTTCTAACAACCAAGTATGAATCCACAGCATAGCAAAACAGCCACCAAAAGACAGCACTGTACAAAAGTTGAATCCACATCTGAGAAACAAACAGAAAATCTTAGGTACTTAGAACAGGATTATTGAAATATTGTTACTTGTAAGTCTGAAATGCTATGTCCAGCTGTGTTCAGTATACTACACAGTACACCAAAGACAATTGAGTCAAATAATTTCCACCTACCTATGAATAGCATGTTCCTTCCTAAATTCAGATATATGTAATAGGTGTGTTCTGCGCTTCAAATTCAAATAATTGGGGGGGGGGGGGGTTTTTGATTATGCCAGAGCATGAATTCAGGTCTTTACCATATCTGCATCTTTTCCCAGAATTATACCACTGATCTCACCAATAGTCAGGTGAATATAGGAAAACACATAGCTACTTTAAAGAGATGCAGACTTAGAATCTACAATTTTTAGAATCAAATCCAAAATCCTGCATAATCCAAATGCAGTTTATTCAACTACAGAATCCTCTCTTTTTTACTCCAAAAGAACAGTAAGATATTAAAAAGATATTTAAGCATGGTATACATGAGAAGTCGAACTAAAGGAAACTAAGAGTGGGTCTCATAATCTTGGTTACTCAGGACTAGTGACTGTACTTCATGATAAAATTATTAAATATATTACACTTGATTGCACATATTCCTTATGAAAGTAGGAAGGAACTTAGAATATGCAGTTTTCAATCAAACTAATTTCAAACTGTACACATTGTGTACACAAACTGTACACAATTCACACATTTTGTTTAGATAACGTATCAGTTCTTAATAATATTTACAAATACAGCATTTTTGCTCATGGGGACTGAATTTTCACTACATATTACACTGGACTGAACCTTTATTTCTATTTGACTTCCACTTTAGTTCCTTCAATTTTTTATTTTTACTTAAGTTACTTTTGTCTTATATCATTTTTAGTCACTATTGCAAAGGTAATACCTGCAGAAAGTTATAATTTAATCAAGCTGCATGCAATATTGAAAGTCAAACTTTTTTCTCAAAGGAAAAAAAATGAAATTCAGCTTTAAAAAACCCAGTTATTGAAAGCAAATGCTGCCCTAAAATTAAATGAAGAGCAGAAGTTAAGTACATTCAACGTGATTATTATTAAATAAATGGGCATAGAATTTCCTGCTTTAGACTATAACCTGTTTTTTTTTATACAAAAACATATTTTTGCAAAAGTCACAAAATTTTTATTACTAGCATAAATCTGGGAACTACAGTATATGGATTTAGCTCTTGCAGCTTTTGCCCCTAAACCAACCAAAAAAAGTGAACAGTTCATGAGACACTGAATCACTTTACCAATATAAAATAGGAAACAAAAGCATGAGAAACGCGTCTTCTGGAATGCTTTATAATGCTTTTATCAACCTTGGTCATAGGTCAGGATAGCTTAAGCATAGCAGGCCACTTAATGCTCTGTTTGGGATTACATGACCAGCACCCGAGGAAGGCTTGGAATGGAGCAATCACCAACATTCCAAGTCACTGCCCATGCCCTGCCTGGAGGAATGTAAGTTGCAACAGTACTGTGAATAATTTTCACTTTAGTTTGCATTCCAGTTATTTTTTTCTCTACAGCTGCTCAGGCCCATTTTTAAGCTTGGTATTTCATTAATCTACTTATTGTGCCCCCATATCAAATATGATCTTTTCTTTTCCTGTACAAATAGGCAGACAGAATCCCCATATCTTTGAATAATTTATTTCCAATATTCCCCTGGGTGAGAAAGAATGAGAACACACCCCAAGTAATCTATCCTGACCTTTTCAAAGGAGAGAGGTATCAATGCAACCTAGCAGCAATTTCATTTACTTCATTTATACCTACCGCACTTCCTACACAGAATGTAGCAGGCCATATATTAGTTTCATTTGCTAAAGATATGTTTGCCACAAAGTCTGGGAATCCTAACCAGACGATAGATCGGAAGATTATACCTATAAGAAGAGAATAAATCTATATTAATAAGGTACAGCTCTGACCACTTTAATATTCATGTTGCTTTATACTTTCCAAAATTATTAGATTTTTTTTGACTTCATTCAGTTTTCTCTGTGATGAATTGGTTTTCCCTTTTATAACTTGCAGCTATTCTATTCTGAATTATTTTGAATCTCCCAAGGATTGCCCATTTTTAGAACTATTATATTCCATTGGTGTTGCTAGTCAGTCTAAAACCTCTTTGTGTTTAGTTCCTGCTTTCAAAGACCCTTGAAAGGGGAAAACATTTTCTAAACTATATGTTCCAAATATTTTTGTTGCTTTTATTTCAGTGCCTTTCACTGTCCCCTTTCTCTCCTCAAATACAAGCAGAAGCTACCAAGAAGAAAGGTACATGATGGACAAGGATTTGGTTCTGCTGCTCTACTTTCCAAAGCTTATTTCCCATGTAACTCAGGATCTGGCCTTAAGGACTGGAAAACATTCTTTTTATCTATTTTTTCTCATCCCTCATCTTATGTGAGGTAAGGCAGGATTGAGGACACCCACCGCCTTTGCTTCTGTTTTTATCTTTCAGTAAAGATCCATTTGTATTGCAATGGGAGGGTGTTTTCCTTCTCAAGGGGTACTTTGATAAAGGCTCTGGCCTGACAGTTAAAGGCCCAGTGATCTCTCTGTCACCTTTGCTTTTGTGTATGTACTGGGGAGAGAAAATGTAGAAACTGTACATCTTTGGTATGAACCAGGATTAGAAGTACTACAGTTTTATTCTCTCTTACATACATACACTTTCGCCTTCCGTCTTCTGGTCCACAGCTGCCTGCCTGGCCAATAAGGAAAAGATCAGCAATATGAGAATCTGCTGTCCGTTCTTTAGTCTATCCTAGCCATTTTCTGGAAAGAAGGATGGATAATCTGCATTCTCAGTGACCTTTGTCACAGTAAGGCTGCATACTGCAAGAACCACTGACCGGATTAATGGGGATTGTCTTCTATGGCTTCGTTGTGGGAGAAGGATTGGGAAAAATCATATGCTTGCCTGCAGACTTAAAATTTTCACAAGGGTCATGTGAATGTCTAGATCTGAAAGGATGGATTTCATTCATGAACTAAGACATGTAAGTGATTAAAAACTGAATGGTTTTAACCAAATTCTTCAGTGGAAATGTGGCAGTGAAAATAAATAGGTCAATGAGCGCTCTCTCTCTTGCTCGCTCTCTTTCTGTCTGTCTCTCTTTCCCACCCTCCCATTCTGCGTTCATGAATACTTTTCATGAGACAAGGGGAAAAGAGAGTTTTTTAAATTGGACTTTTTAGCAATTTGTATTACAAATACCAGAAAAGAAAAAAACTGTATTTAAATAAATATGTTTGAAAAAAATATAAAGCAGTAGATTCGTTTTCCTTCATATTCTATCTGAGTCACTCTTAATACATCAATCAGTTTTTCACTGGAGAATATGGGTTAAACTGTGAAATAACTAATATTCATTACTATTTCATCTACCTAACAGCAATCTATCTTTTAAAAAATGACTTTCTGTTATAGTGCATACCAAGTCTAACTGCATGTAAATTAAGAAGCAATTCCCATTACATCCAAAGATATTTCTTTCTGTGTGCATTTAGAACAGCAAGTTTAAGGATAATTCTGGTCATTGAAGGCTTTTCTATTTGGCTTCAAATTTATCTAATTATGAGTCTTGAGTATTAAGTCTGTGAAAAGGGGATCAAGAATGCTTATCATACTAGTAGACAAACCAATTAGGCAACAGAACAGCTGGCTTTTCATATAATGCTAAAATGAACTGATAGCAACAGCAACTGCAATCCAAGTCATAAATACAAATCATAAACCATACCTTACTTTGAACGTATAATGCGTATCAGAAAGTACAGGAATAAATTTCAACCTACTCTACCAGACACTTGCCTTTTTTGCCTATTTTTTCTTTATCTATGTCAGAGGAGCTAATTTACTAGTACTGTTGTCTTAGGATAACATAAGAGAGTTGGAAAGGACCTTGTAGGCCTTCTAATCCAACCCTCTGCATTAATATTCCCTATTAAAATGTCATATTCCAAGTTTTGTTTGGTGCACTAGTTCCCCTAACCCAACTGCCAGCAGAATAACATCATTTCTTACAGCTTTCCCAGTAATTATAACTGTAGCCAACCTGGCCTGTTCAGTCCATATGAAATGCCATGGTAAGCCTTTTCAATCCCTCTGGATGCATTAAAGTTAATGAACAGAAAAAAAAAGAGATTCAGTCTTAAAACATCTGAAATTTCATATTTCCTGACCTAGGAGTAAGAAGTCCACTTAAAATCACTGGGCTTGTTACAAAGCAGAAACCAGGCTGCAATGCTAGTGAAGCTTTATTGGGTTCCTAATCATTGATGTGCATTGTCAACGTTACTTATTACTTACTGTATTCCTTTCTCCATCACTGTCTACCTTCGTCTTATATTAAAATATCCTTAGATTCTCTCTTACTCCCTCTTTCGTCCAGCCCCTCCCGTCTCTCTGTTCTTTGGTGGGATTCTCCCCCAAACCTCCTTATTTAGTTACCAAATGTATATAGCGGCCCATGTCACCAGAAGTGACCTTCTTACCCAGAGAGCCCAACATATCACAGGCGGAGATGAGGAGGAGGATGGTGGAGGAGGAGGAGGAAGCCTTGGAAATCGCCCGGGACCCCCGGCCCTTCTTCGGGAGGAGCTGCAGGGCGGTCAAGAAAATCCCGGCCGAGGCGCTGCCAAGGCAAACCCCACAAAAGATCTCTGGCTTGAAAGACACGACAAGCTTCGTGGAGACGTCCCGGTTGGGGCAACAGAAAGTTTCCAGCCGCGGAGAGGCCATGGCAAGTTTTTAGGAGACTAGAGGGTCGGGATGGGAGGAAGAGCAACACGCTTTCGCTCGCTCCTAGGAAGCTCTTGCAGGCTTTCTGCCCTCTTTCCTCCTGCAACTTCGAGATGGGAGTCACGCGATGGCCGGATCATGTGGCGAAGTCGCGATTCCTAAAGCCCCCGGACCTGCCAGTCCCGGCTCCGTGTTTTTGTTTTTCTTTCTTTCTTTTTCTTTCTTTCCGTCAGGCGGAAATTTTCGTGGGGCAGCGAAAACGGGGGGAGCAAGAGATCCGAAGCGCGTGTCTTCCCTTCTCTTTGCTCCGAGGCATTGGCAGGGCTTCACTCAAAACGCATCGCTTCTTGCAGGACCGAGTCTGAGCCTCTTGGGGCGGTGGGGCGGTGGGAGTGGGGGGAGCTTGAAAGAGAAAGCGAGGCTCTGAAGAGCCGCCGTCTGAAAAAAAGGAATCCCTTCAAAAAGATCAACCTCCGTATTTCGTAAATTAGGGACAGAGGATGGCCGTTTCTCATCAATGATTCGTGGTCAGTTGTTAAGTGTCGTTTGCTGCGGCGTCGATCCTTCTCCCTCCACGTGGTTCTGTTATAGTTGGAAGATCTGTTTCCTGAAATCCTGACTGCCCTAAAACAGTTGTTCCAAAATTGGCTGGTAGTTTCTCCTCCAGCACTCCTGAAGAATTTTAAAAGGCTTGAGACTGAGATCACATCATCTGACCCCTGGGCCCACCGGTTACTGCTTCAAGCATCCCTCCATCAACTGCATTTTGAATGTCCACTTTGCATGATCCTACCGCATCTGAGCTCAAATCCAAATGAAACCTAGATAATGACAATGGTATAAACTGGCTGCCCACAGGTCAGATGCATCAGACGCAGGCCATGTCACGTGATGCAATCGAGTTTGACAGCTGTGATGTACACCGTTCTGTGTCACTGCAGCTGGCTAGTGACGTCTACTGGGTTTTTGCAGCCTAGGCTGACCCTTCACTAACCATTCACTAGACCAGTGTTTTTCAAAGTTGGCAAATTCAATTCCCACATTCCCCTGTCTGTATACTGGAAAGGGAACTCTGGGAGTTGGTCCACTCATTTTAAGGTTGCCAAGCTTGAAAAACATAGCACTAGACTCAAATTACTAAGACTGCAGAGTTTTGTCTTTTTAAAAGAATTTTGTCTTCTTCTTTTTTTAAAAAAAAAAGGTAAGAATTTATTCCAGCATTTGGGTATTTCTTTTAATTAACTGCTCAGTCTGTTTTTCGTATTCATTTTCATCTTGAGTACATTCAATGATATGTACTGAAGTCCATTTAGTTGATAAGACTTATTTCTATGCCAATCAGTATCACAATTTTCAGCCCAAATCAATCCATTGCAGGATTAAGTCCTCTTTAGCTGACTGCAAATTGTTTCCAGTTAACACCTTTGAACTGAGTCACATTATTATCCCAGCATTTATTTGGGTGTTTTCTGGGTCTTTCAAGGTCATGTATCCAACCAAGGATTGTTGTTGCCCAACACTGCTCTGTTATTGTATATTGAGGTCAACCATTATCATTTCTGTGAGGCTACTCACTTAATTATAATATATATTTGACTATTAGTGTATTTAATTTTTTTTCTTGACACATCTTAAGCATTTGTATACTTTTCTAGTTCTGTACTGCTTTTGAATTTAATATCCAAGTTGTGAAACCTTGTATTAGCACATTACACACTAATTAAAATATTACATTCCTGAAGTCGGTTACGATGTTCTGAAATGCTCTTCAAGCAAGTTTAGTTATGACATTAATTGTCCAGGATCATCTTTTTAGTGACATAGATGTAAGCTGCCAACATTCTTCAGTTCATTATCTCTATTTTTTATGGGCAAAGGTTTTGAATGATTTTGAACATTATTTCTCTCTTCGAGTTCATTTTCAAGCCATGGATTTGGTCACTTTCATCTTAAATAAGTAAATGGCTCACAAATTCTGTTTTACTGCTTTTACTGAATGGGATTGTATTCATTTGCGCGCGCACAGACACATATCCTCATAGCCACATACATACATAAATTCCTCATTTCTAAATAAGCATGCAACTAATTGCAGAATTAATCTGATGTCATGATAAATGGGGAGAGACATTTTTCAAGTTTCTGAAAGAGCAGGATTTTATTTTGGTGTATAAAATGCATGCCTTTATGTTAGGCAGCAAAACCAAATCTTTTGTATAACCACCATGCTCTTAACATTAAATTTCTGTAACATAACTATCTTTAAAATTGCTCATCCACTTTACACATTTATAGCTGTAGCTTTTAAAACTATTTTGAAAGAGGAAGAGTTTGATTTCTCTGCCACTTTACATCTACATAAGAAAGAAACAGGATACTTTGAAATGGAGACAGCATGAGGGCAATATGGTTTGTGATGTAATGCCTCCTTTATAAGACTGAAATGAAGTCAAAGGATTTGAAGTGTCAACTTTGCAATTGAAAAATAATGTTTTAAAGTGAAAGGAGGCTATAACAGAAGTGCCCTTTTCTTGATTTTCGTTAACTAGCAGCAACAGCTTTGAGATTAGATTGTTCAGAGGTTGTCTAAAGAACAAAGGTTAATTAATATAAAGTGAAGAATGATTTCTCTAATTGTTTCCCAATGGATTCAGTGACATTTCAAAAACAAGGAAATTGTTCAACTTTATTCATTTCATTCCTGCTTCTATTTTTGAAGGACTCATTTAGAGCTCTGATATTTGCTTCTGGAAAGTTTTGATACCTTCAAGAATAAAAAACACATGCATGTTTTACATGCTTCCTTTAACTATCGATTTGTTGGTTTTTTAATGATTCAAATTAATTGGACATTACTTTCTTTTAGCAAAGGGTTAGGGTTTGTCAGACATAACTGACATAATTTAAGAAGACCATCTTTCACAGTGCAACATTTATTAGCATCTAGAACAAATAGCAACAGCAAATAAAAAAAATTACACAATGTGTGTTTCATAATATAATTCCAGCCTTTCATATTTGCTCATTCCTTTGCTTCATGACTACCTCAATGAAATTCATTCTTCCATTTTGTTAATGCAGGATATAAACCACCATTGGGACTTCTGATGGATTTCTCTTGTAATTCCCATGCACACAAGCTCACCACAAAATTGCCATCCTTAAGAGTGTGGAGATCCTGGTTTTTGTTCTAGGTATCACAGCAAGTACAGAAGAGCAATAATTCTCCTCCTTCAGTCAGGTCCAGTCACTTATTAGTGGTATCCAGCAATGTGTAGCTGCAGCAATCCCACCACAGATTGGTTCTCTGCTGAGAGTCAGAATCCATTCCAATTATTCTTAGCACTCACTGTATAGAATAGCAGTGGAAACAGATGGCAATGGGACACCTTGATTTTTTAGGAAGCTGCAATTACAAAGCAGTCTTAGTATTACTGTATTGACAGAAATGGAGGAATAAATTACCAGATAACTCAAATGCATTTGTGATTTTGTATGGTACATGTTGCCTAAGCAAGGCTGAACAATGTCACTATGACATGACAAAGACCAAGCCAACAGATGTTATAATAGAGAGGCTGTTATCTAGTGATGGCCAGGACCTAGACTTTGTTCATATTTTTTTATTTGGTTTGTCAATTGCTTACAAGATAATAGGTATAAGTAAAAACATAGTTATGAATATATGGATACATATAAGAAAAATAAAAGAAACGAATTCCGGTTTGAGCTTCTTCAGCAACAGACCGAAACCTCATCTCTGCGAGGCTTCGATCCGTGCTCACTGCTGGAGTGCCCCGAGCCGGCTGGTTTCAGGGATAAGCCACCCCGTAGAGGTGGTGAAGAGGGGGGAGACTGCCTGCAGGGTTGAGGAGAGCCGCATCTCTCCTGCCCAGCTGGCCATTACTCCCTTTCCCGAAGGCAGTTGCAGCAGTGGTCAGAAATGGCCACCACAAAGAAGAACTCGATCGGAAAAGAATGTGCAGGAGGAAGATAAGAAGAGAAAGTTTTGGTTGACCGGGTCAAACAGCAAAAGCAACAAATAAGGTACCCTGGAATTGAAACCGTTAAAAAACAATAACATTATTCCCTAAGAAGATTTTTAAGCTGCGAAGGAGAGAGAAAAGGGAAAAGATTTGGTTTTCTCCTTTTCCTATACTGACAGCTAAGAGACTTAAGCAAGAAATTGGAAAAAAAATCCACTTTGACAACAATAGGCATTTAATGCTGAAAATAAAAAGTCAAAGGGATAATAAAGATTTCTGGATAATTAAAAGTTTTTGAAAACAGGAAAGGAGAGAAAAAGAATAAAGGGGCAAGATCTGGAAGGGAGGAGACTGCCTGGAATTAAAAAAGAACTTACAGCAAAATCTCAACAAGACTTCCAAAAGATACATTCTAACTGAAATATCGCAACAAAAACCCCAGGAAGAGAAAGTCAAAAAAGAAATAAGAAGATATAACTCGGGACTATCTGGATTACTTGATGATTTCTGGATTCTTGGTTATTGTTTTGAATGATTAAAATCAATCGGGTGGTTGTTTAAAACTGTTTAAAATGGCTCCACTTTTAGAAGAACTGAAAATGGAACTTAAAAAGTACAAAAAAGATGCACAAGAAGGGAGAGGTTCTTCTGGCTTCGTATTTCAGTTTTCAGAAATGGAGATCTGGAATTATGAGAAACAACAAGAAATGCCTGCAGAACAAGTTTGCAACAAAAAAGAAGCCATCTTTAACGAACAAGTAATTTTATGGGGGGGGGGGAAAGGAAAGGGGGGAAAGAGAATGAAAAGTTTAAGATTTGAAAAAAGCAACCAAGAAAAGGAAGAATAGTTTGAAAAATTAGTATATTAGAAAGCAACAGAAGAGGGGAATACAGAAGAGAGAATTAGAAGTAGAGAGACAAGGGGGTAAAAAGGGGAAGGAGAAGAAGAGAGGGAAGAAGGAAAGGAAAAGAAGTTATAAAGGACAGAAACAAGATATGGAGAAACAGGGCCTATTTAGAGATAATGGGTGAAAATTTAACGGAAAAAGGGATTTTGCAAAGGTACATAAGATAGTATGGTTATATTAGAAATAGAAATAATTTTAGAAAATATGAAACAATGTATGATTAAAATGTCTGATAAAATAGCTATCGTAATTCAG